TTGCTAGTCACCGCACAGCACAGCCTGCCCACGCCCACGCTGTCTGCTTGCCAGCCAACCAACCCCTACCCGCACACCGCGTAGCCCCCCCGAGTCAAGACGAAACCGACAACCATGGACAGCAATAATAACCGTCTCTATCTCAACATTGGGAACAACAACGATCGTCTGGCTCCCGGTGGCGACCGCCAGTATCCTACGACTCCCTCGACCTTTCCTCAGCCCGTCTTCCCAGGCCAGGCCCAGCAGCAGCAGCAACAGCAAGGCATGCAGCACCCACAGCAGCAGCAGCAGCCCTACCAGGCCGGCTATGCTCCCCAAGGCTACTTCATGAACAACCAGCAGCAGGGCCAGTACCCTCCCCAGGGCCACGGCGACTACAACGCCGGTTACCAGCCGCGATCCAACACTCCTGGCGGCAACGACCCCAATGTCGGCCTCGCTCACCAATTCTCCCACCAGAACCTCGGCGGCGCTGCTCGCGCATCCCCCTATGGTTCCCGCGGCCCCTCTCCCGGCCAGCGACCTCGCACCGCTGGTGCTCCCGGCCAGGCCCCCTCTGGCTACGGACACTACGCGACTCCTCCTCTCCCGAACCAGCAGGGCTCTTCTGCCGAGATCTTCGCCCCAGCTCCTGAGCGCAACTACGAGAAGTATGGCGTCAACGCCAACAGCAACCAGAAGAAGTGCACCCAGTTGGCGTCAGACTTCTTCAAGGATAGTGTGAAGCGTGCCCGCGAGAGAAACCAGAGGTAAGGAGGCGTTTCGCATGCCAGCTGTTGCAGCTTGCTGACTGCTTTGTGTACAGACAAAGCGAGATGGAGGCCAAGCTTTCCGAGCCCAACCAGAGTCAATCGAGACGCGAGCAGATCTGGTCCACCGCCGGCCGCAAGGAGGGACAATACCTGCGATTCCTGCGAACAAAGGACAAGCCCGAAAACTACAACACCGTCAAGATCATCGGAAAGGGTGCCTTTGGTGAGGTTAAGCTGGTTCAGAAGAAGGGCGACGGCAAGGTCTACGCCATGAAGTCCCTGATCAAGACGGAGATGTTCAAGAAGGACCAACTGGCCCACGTCCGCTCGGAGCGTGATATTCTGGCCGAATCCGACAGTCCATGGGTCGTGAAGCTCTACACAACGTTCCAGGACTCGTACTTCCTGTACATGCTCATGGAGTTCTTGCCCGGAGGTGACTTGATGACGATGCTCATCAAGTACGAGATCTTCTCCGAGGATATCACGCGGTTCTACATTGCAGAGATTGTCCTTGCCATTGAGGCTGTCCATAAGTTGGGCTTCATTCATCGGTATGTCGCATATGCCCAAGCTGTGGCCACTCGCTAACTTTCCCAGTGACATCAAGCCCGACAACATTCTGCTCGACCGCGGCGGCCACGTCAAGCTGACCGATTTCGGTCTGTCCACCGGCTTCAACCGTTTGCACGACAACAACTACTACCAACAGCTGCTTCAGGGCCGGTCTAACAGACCAAGGGATAGAAACTCTGTTGCTATTGACCAGATCAACCTCACAGTCAGCAACCGCTCCCAGATCAACGACTGGCGTCGCTCAAGGAGACTGATGGCTTACTCCACCGTCGGTACTCCCGACTACATCGCGCCCGAGATCTTCACTGGCCACGGCTACACGTTCGACTGCGATTGGTGGTCTCTTGGCACCATCATGTTTGAGTGTTTGGTGGGATGGCCTCCTTTCTGCGCCGAGGACAGCCACGACACGTACCGAAAGATTGTCAACTGGAGGCAGACTTTGTACTTCCCCGATGACATCCAGCTCGGTGTGGAGGCCGAGAACTTGATTCGAAGGTGAGCAAGCCTGCTATTTAATCATGGAATCCACTCACTAACATGCCCAGCCTCATCTGCAACACCGAGAACCGTCTCGGCCGTGGGGGTGCTCACGAGATTAAGGCGCACTCTTTCTTCCGTGGAGTCGAGTTCGACAGCTTGCGCCGCATCAGGGCGCCGTTCGAGCCTCGCCTGACATCCGCCATTGATACCACCTACTTCCCGACCGACGAGATTGACCAGACCGACAACGCAACCGTGCTCAAGGCACAGGCCATCCAGCAGGCCCGTTCCGGCGTCCCTGTGGTCGAGGAGTCGCCCGAGATGAGCTTGCCTTTCATCGGTTACACCTTCAAGCGTTTCGACAACAACTTCCGCTGAGGCCCTACTACCTCTTATTGGTGACATGCATGGGCATGATTCTTCGAATCGCATTTGCACGGGACCCGTTCTCGAGGCTGCGACTGGCCTACGCACCTTGTACTCGATCTTGCTTTTTGCCTACCGATACACCAGATTCATGTTACCAAGACTTGCATTTTCCGTTTTTGTTTCCAACAACCACTGCATAAAGGGCGTTGACTCGCATCAAGACACAAAATCGCACAAACCACCATGTAGATGGAGAGGCAGAATGGGTTGTTGCCTCGGGCTTGAGGCTGTGGGCTGTAGGTGTTTAGAGTTGTTTACATTCTCACGAGAGACACGACGTGGAGAGAAGGAGGTGGAGAACAGAGAAAGATCTAGTGATACCGGATCTACATGTCATGGATGCAGGAGCGAAATTCAGGAGAAACTAGGATGACTGTCAGCAGTTGGGCGATAGAATGCAGTCAAGATAATGCATTTGAGACAAAGCCAACTATTCTGGTATAGTGATGTGCAACTTTTGAGTCAGCTCAGTTTTCGCATCCCACCGTGTGTGGAAGAGCTTACATTTCCATATCCTGCGCCAAACGCCAAATCCCTGTGCATGCCCCGATATAGCCTGTGTCTGCCGGGCAAACGCATCGGGCCTATCTCATTATGAGTAATGCCACGTCTGCCATTCTCCTACAGGCAGCCGTTTCGTGATGCAAGTTGCCATCGTAAGCACCCATACAATCCGCCACCTGTCCCCCTCACCTGCGCGAGCTCAGACCCGGCGCCGCAACATATCTCTCCTCTCTCTCTGACATGAACATGACCTGCAGCCAGTACTCCTTGGCGTCGGGGTCCCAGAAGCTGAACTGCTTGTCCTCGCGCTTGTCGAGCTCGCGCGCGGGGATCTTGAACGCGCACGTTTCGTACGGCTCGGCCGCGACCAGCAGGTACTGGAAGTTCTTGTCGGGCTCCTCGACGCGCTGCGTGAAGGCGTTCATGACCTGCCACTTGGGCTCGACGTCCGGGCTGATGTCGGGGTACTGCAGCTGGAAAAGCAGGCCCTGCTGCCTGCTGACGGGGTCGCGGACCTTGGTGATTTTGTAGCCCGGGCGGCCGATCTTGATGACGTTCTTGCGGGCGAGGGCGCCGAAGCCGGCGCCGACGACGCCCACAGGCAAACCGGTGGCCGGGTCGATGTTCTGCTTGCCTTCCTTCTGCTCGCGCGCGGCGCGGCGGGCGAGGTTGGTCTGGTGCTTCTTGCCCTGGGTGTGGGCGAGGTAGGAGCCGTCGTTCTGGTGGACGGTGAGGCAGAGGCGGCACTCGAAGGAGCCGACGTGGTTCTTGAAGAAGTAGGGGTCCTTGTCGAGGTCGATTGTCTCGAGGGCGAGCTTGCGCAGGCGCTCGCGGCGGTCGGCGTTTGTGGCGGAGTGGGAGGCCACGCCGCCGCCGCCGAATTTGGAGCCGGCGCGGTTTTGGTAGTCCATTTTCCTTCTTCTTTCTTGCTTTTTGTTTTCTTATTATGTGTGGGTGTCGTTGGTGGTGGTGATTGTCGTCGGTGGTTTGGGTGGTTGGGGATTTCGACGGGAAGTTGCTGGAGTTGGAGGTTGAAGATTAGTTACATCCTGCGAAAATGCGAGCTTGGTAGGTTCGCGAAATGGCGTTGGCTCACCGAGGTGAAGACGCGGTTCGGGGGTACGATTCTCCGGCCGAGCCAATTCAGTGGGACCTACCAGCGGGATTCTGTGGGGAAGGTACTGGCCCGGACTTGTTGATATAAACCACTTGGGCCGCTCCTGCTCGATCAACTTCATTGTCGACCACGGCTACGTGCAGGCTGCCACAGCGAGCCCGCTAAGCCTGCGGCTACTTATTTTGATTGCGCTTGTGATGACCTCAACAATCGAGGGCGTGGCGCAATGGTAGCGCATCTGATTCCAGTCCAGAAGGCTGCCCGTTCGAGTCGGGCCGTCCTCATTTTCTTTTGCTTTTTCTTATTTCTTCTCGGCCTATTCTCTAGCTTTATATAAACGGCCGCCAATGAGATGTTCTCATGAGATTGCCATTGACTTTAGCCAGTGTTGTTGTGCAGGGTGGATGGACAGGCTGGCGGGCGATGAGCATAATAACAACACGGCTAGCAATGACGACCCAGGCGAGTGCATGCATGCACACACACATGCTTTGCTCTATTCTCATCTGTGGTGTGTTTTTTTTTCTCTTTCTTTCTAGCAATTCGGATTGGCTCAAGTGACGATTTCGATTATGCAAGTCTCTCAATAACCACAATAAGTTGCCCGCCTTTCGGGTCCCTTCAAGGTCATTCCCCACGATCCTATTATTGAAACAGAGCGTCTCCCCGCGGTTAAACTGCAACTGATGTCATGCCAGCCATAAGGGCACCCAAGATGACTTTACGCGCTAAAGCGGAAACAAAAGTTCCCCGAATCTCGGTTGGAGGGTCATGGCTGTGACGAATGCCTTAACAATCTACGTATTGTTGGACGTCCGCCGAATCCCAAGGCTTTGTTGGTTCAACCTGCCAACCTTGCCCGGGCTGAACAAACAAAATCGCAACTCATCAAAGCAGCCAATAAAGCCCCATTATTTCGCTAAGCGCTGGGCTCTGATACGCCTGTTGGTTGCTCGTCTGGACATGTCCTCTACGTAACGTCGCAGCTGCATCTGGTTCTGTGCCGCGGGGCTGCAGAAGCTATCGGACCCAGAAAAGGGGGCAGCAATCACCAGAAACGACGAAGGGGAGACACCGAGATCTATCATCATTAGTGAATCCCCATTCAACTCCTCCTTGCTTGTTCTTCGGCTCCAATGATTACTATTACTGGCGATGCGGCGACGGCCGAGGGGCCGAGTGCTCAGGCTGGGCTCAGGGTCGACAGTGCGATCGACCTCACGATTGAACTTATCCCTGAAGAGGCAAGGCTCTGGCGAGACTGGACGAATCGAAGTTCTGCTGACACAATTTGCAGTTCACCGACGACGAGGCATCGTTGATAGGAAGCGTCAGTGACGTGTGATTTGCCCCAGTGCGAGTGATATTGTACTGATGTGCTACGTCCAGGGCGTTGGGTCATCGGCGTTTAGCGTAGCTGCATCGATCCTTGGGTTTCGGGAAGAAAACGGGCGGAGATACCATGCGTACAAAGATGGCAGTGAGTGCTTCCAACATGGTGTTCCACCGCCGGACTTTGACAGAAACTCTAACCGCCGTGGAAAGAATATACTTCTCCCAACGACGAGCAAGAACAAGATAGACTGGGTAAGACTCAAAGATCCATTCTCTTCCCCTGGAATGTGCGACCGTGGTTTATGAGGAGCGCTGATATAAAATCCAGACCTTCAACACAATCTCTTTCTTCTAACCTTTGACAACAAACTGGGACTCGCCCCGCCGAACGAACCCAGCTCAAATGTCGAGCGCGTCCTTGATATTGGCACTGGCACAGGCATTTGGGCCATGGATTTTGGCGAAGATCACCCTGACGCAGAGGTAAGTTCAATGGCTACCGGCTCGCTGCAGCGAAATCACGGGATTCTTATGTCAACAGGTCCTTGGTATCGATCTGTCCATGCCAACCCCAGATTTGTAAGTTTGTGAAGAAGATTGGATATCCGTAAATCGAGCCGAAGAGTTCCAGGCTAAAGTCACTCCCATAAGCACGCCTCCCAATGTCCATTTTGAAGTCGACGACCTAGATGAAGAGTGGACATATTCGCAACCATTCGACTACATCCATACTCGAGGAATGAACTCATGCATCGCTGATTGGAGCGTGTTTCTTCGAAAAGTCCTCACGTAAGTATCTCTAATATCTGTGAGATTTGCAGTGCAAGCCTAACCGCCCTTTCAGCAACTTGAAACCTGGAGGATACTTTGAACTGCAAGAGCTTGAAGTGTATCCTCGTTCCGACGACGATAGCCTAAAACCAGAATGCGCGCTTTCTCGATGCATGAGCCACGTGCACAAAGCCTTTGAAGTCTTTGGGCGCTCGTTCCAGGAAATCCCACAACTGCTTGCTATCATGAAGGAAGTCGGCTTCGTTGATGTTGAGCTGCGGCTGTTTAAATGGCCGTCAAACTCGTGGCCGAAACATCAAAAGTTCAAAGAGCTGGGGTTTTGGAACAACGAGAACATCAACAACGGGTTCGAAGCGATCACGATGGCGCCATTTACGAGAGCGCTTGAATGGACGAGGGAGGAGGTGCACGAATTCTTGCCTAGCGTGCGGCGGGATTTGAACGATAAGTCTATTCATGCTGACTGGCCTGTGTAAGTGAAAACCCTTGGCTTGGGTTGGTCTCTCGAATGAAGCTGACAGCGTTTTCAGATATGTTGTCTACGGGAGGAAACCTGTCGAGAAATAGCCCTGAGATGCCAGGGGCCAGTAATCGGAGGTTCACAGATACTCCGGGATTCAGGTTTAGGCAGCTGGGTAGGATGGCATCGGTCTGATTTGCTTGGCGATACAAGAATATTCTCTTAATCATATTGCAGGCATGTTTGGCGCAGGGTCTGCGTCTCACTCCTAGTCTATTGAATTAATCATATTGCTTGACACCAAAACCCGCTAAACCCTCTTTACGAGGTTTCTTTTAACCACAATTACCATACATTCTGCATTAGTATTACTGGGCCTGTTGCAGAATGACTGCCATTGTGCTCAACATGACAGACATCACCGCAAAAGCGACGCAGAAAAGCCACGTTGAACGAAAAGACTCTCATCATCTGATAAGGGGAATTGCATAACGTGACCAAAAGCGAAGTCCGCTTGTTCTACCCCGGACCGTTGAAAACTTTAAGCAAGCTTCCACGGTGTCTCATGAGCAGCACAGGTCACCGAGTTTCATATCCAACATTCCCGGCCGCTGAAGACGCCTGGAGGTATCCGAGGCGTGCGGGAAGAGCGGTAAAATGGCAAGAAACTTGGTCGCCGTCGTATTGGTGAAGGCCGCTGGCGTGGGGAGTCCGAGCAGCGCAGATTGTGTGCGCGCGCTTGTGAGGGCATTGATGCCGCCTGCACTTGACTCAAAATCGCGGCGAGAGAATCTCTGAACACCCTCTTCTTATTGAGTTCTGTCTCCGATGAGCTTCAGAGACGCGCGTTCATCGCAAGTTGAATAAGTTCAGAAAAAGAGAAAGCTTGCTGAAGATGAACTAGATGATGGCAAACTATTTGAATTGGAATTAGTGGTTTCTGTTCGCATGAAATACGGTAGCTTCTGGATCTGAAATGTGCTTGTATTGTTGTATTGAGAGTGCACTTGCTCGGGATAGAGTCCACGATGGGGTGGGCATTTGCTAGCAGAGGAGTGGCGAGAAACAAGACAACAGTTAGAGATGCGAAGGAACCCAACGGCAAAATTTCCCCTGGACGATACATCCGGCTAAAGTTTACATGTTGTGAGAGCACGTCGAAAGGGGATAGGTGATGCTCGTCTGAGGCACCAGACGCCCGGTACCAGAGATCAGATGCCCAGGATGTGACAGATGAACTCCCAAGACCGACAAGCTTTTCAAGCCAAGAATGAGGTTCTAAGATCACCGTGCCAAGGCAAATCCATCCGTCTTGGGCGAGAAGATCACCCAAGCAGGGATAGCATGGTCGGGTTCGCATCCAGTCGGGTGCGCGCGCGCTACCGATTCTAAGTTTATCCTTACATGTATGCTTCTCCTGTTTCCCCATGCTCTCTGCGTATTGTACGCCCACTTGGGTGGCGACCCGTTCCGACGCCCTCGGGGATTTCGGGACCCATCGGCAGCCCGACTTGACAGACTGAGAACATTTCTACCCCACGAATCATGCCTGAAGCAACCAGCCTTGTTCTGAGCCTTAAACCAGATATGCATGTTAACCACCAATGATAAAGGCCCTCCAGTTTCATCCTAAAACAACTGAGTGTGCCATCGTCTGAAGTCTCTTTGGCTATGCTGCTCAGCAAAGTTTCCTCATCTGATAATGGGAGGAAATCATCCGCAAGGGCCACCCCACTAAGTTTGCAGAATATCCAGAAACCCGGGACGAGTCGATCTATGAGCAAGATGACTCGGCTAGCCATACCTACGCCGGTTTGGATGGCGTGACGCCGTTGATCGCGTGCCTCGAGTTGGCTCGTGTTGTCCTTCACACGACATGTTCGCATCATGGCATCCCCAAAAGATAAACAGAGTTCAATTACGAAACCTTCTCACTCTGCACCGTCGGCGACATCGTGAAGTTGCACTTTCCATCGGGGTGGCTTCGTGGACTTTGTGTATAGTTGCAGCGGAATCGTCAAGTATAAATACAATATGGATTCGCCTCGACATCTACTCTCTCCTTTCATCCACACTACAACACTATCTGACTACTCTTCTTTCTCTACTAATACACTCTCTTATCCGACTGGATTCGGACACACTCTCACTTAATCTACTTTCAATACTATCGTTATCTACACACAAACTCACTCACCGCCAAAATGCGCTTCTCATTCGCTTTCCTTTTCTTCCTCCTCGGCCTCACCCTCGCCGTACCCATGGCAAGCCCTGCCAACAATAAGGCTACAACTAAGGCACCCGCCGCTAAGCCCGCTGCTAAACCGGCTGCCAAGCCCGCTGCTAAGCCAGCCACTGCCAAGGAGTCCTCTGATAAGAAGAAGCTCGTCAAGGGCATCAACGACAACATCAACGCCGGCAAGAAGGAAATCAAGGCCACCGAGAAGGCTCAGAATGACGTCAAGAAGAACGATGCCAAGGGCTTGAAGAAGGACGAGAAGGGCATCAAGAGCGCCCTCGATGAGGCCACCAAGGACCGCCAGAAGAACCAGAAGATCGCCGGCAACAAGGACCCCGCTCTGACCAAGGGACTCGGCAAGGTTGAGAACGCGCAGAAGGGTGCCAAGCAGACCGTCAACGGGCTGACTGGTAATCCGAAGAAGGACGGACCCGCTCTGGACAAGCTCGACAAGACCTTCAAGAAGGGAAAGAAGACCAACCAGGACAATCTGAAGGAGGTGAGTTGAGAGTACCCATGCAAAACGAGAACCTAAAGACTAACAACGTGTGTAGGCCAAGAAGAACTTCAACTAGTGGAGAAAAACGGTCTTTACACAATAGGTCAGATAGATGGGTATCAAACAAAACTAGTCTGCTGCCATAAAGACTAGTTTCAGTAACTGTAGTAAATACCAAACGTTAAACATACGTTCCGAAGGCATGGCCATCTGCAATGTTCTCTTTCATGGCAACTAAAAGTGACTGCCGATCAAATGAATCTGAAGACTGAACTAGCCCTCAATAGCTGCTCCAGATAGTATCACTGTTCCCGGGCTAACAATAGTACCCGCTGGACTCACGATACTCTTCACGACCATCCCGTCTTCATCTTTTCCGCAAATGACCTTGATCTCCATCTTCATAGCTTCCAACACAGCCACTGTCTGCCCACTCTTCAACACATCGCCCACATCAACTTCCACTTTCCAAACACTCGCACTCACAGGAGACTTGATCCGAAGAACGTTCACACTCGAATGCTCCTCCGGCTCCCCACCAGCCGCCGCAGCCCCGTTGGTCGAAGCTGTAGTGGCCGCATGCCACTCAACAAAGAGCTCCGTCTCCTGCTGAGCAAGCTTTTTGCTAGCTTCAGCCTGCCGCTTTGTCCACTCCAAATGAGCCGGATCCTGATTTGCAGCGTCGAACTTGGCGATGAAATGGTCCATGTTTATCGTAGTCTCACTGATGGTAAACTCGTACTGCCCGATGTCATAGTCGTGCTTCAGCTTGTCGTATTCTTCCTCCCCAACCTCCACAAACCTGACCAGATCAAAATGACGGAACAGCCAGGGCTTGGACGGCTCGAAACAGGGTCGATTACCCGTCTCATCCCAGCAGCCGATGGTGCGCCCAATAAGTTGGTAACCTCCCGGTGCAGCGACGGGATAGATGGCCACAAGAGAACCGCCCAGACCGACTGATCCGCTTGGAGTGAAGACACGGCTGGGGTTATACTTTTGTCCCACGTACACGTACTTAGGATCAAGGGGGAAGAGAAACGGAGTACCAACGTAGAAGCCTACGGCTACCGTGAGCCAGGGGGTGTTCAGAAACGCGTCGAAAACGGCTTGCCGGGAAGAAAGCGCGTTGTTTTCCCGAATGTACTCCACGTTATCCGGTAGGTAAGAGGCATCTTTTCTGATGTTATCCATGTAACGCTGGACAGCCTCCGCGATGGCAGAGTGGTCGAGGCAGATGGGCAGTTGGACCTCTCGCACCGGCATCTGATTGCTCGACTGGTTGAGTCCGCACGGCAGCTCCGACAGAATATTTAGTAGTTCGGTTTGTGTTGTCTTCTTGGGGTTGAAGTGGATAGTCAGAGTTGCGATGCTCGGAGTCCAACTTACGCCATCCAACTGGCGGTCCTCAAGTTGCTTGGCCAATAGTCTGACGCAGATGGTATTGCGCAAGTCAGCGACCTGAGTCCCGAACTCCACGATAATAGAAGAGTCGCCTCCTTGTCTGTAGATCGTCTTGGGATTAAAGTCTGTCGCAGGGATTTCCCTCATCGTTGACGATCCCGAAGAAGCTTGGCTGTACTCTTCAGGATACAAAGCCGGGATTGATGCTGTGACTTGACCCGCTTGGGCACACTCAGCCACAGCAGTGATATATTCATCTTGCCTCTTCAACATGACCATGGCCCACTCGAAAGTGGTTGGTCTGAACCGAATCTCATCCCCAGGCTTCAGCTGTCCAAGCTTCCAAAAGTCCGCCGAGCAGACGGTCAACGGGCAGGCAAACCCTCCAGCGTCAGGGCTGTCGACTGAGAAGATGACTGGAAAGTCGCCAGTCCAATTGACGCCACCAACGGGGTATCCATAGTCGAAGACATTCGATGGATGAGACCCTCCTCCACCACCGGATGAGCGCGCCCATTCGAGTTGCGGTCCTGCCAGTCGAACGCCACTGCGGCCGCTGTTGTGATTCACTTTCCAGGCAGCCTCATATAACGCAGCTCGTCCAGCAGGGGTGAAGATGTTGTTGTCGCCGTACGGTCCTTCCATACACCACACCTGCTTAATATCGAGGCTGGGGACAGCGTCGCTGGGAAGTGAAAATAACGTTGCCTCGGCGGCCCACTGAGTCGACTGCTCCGCCAGATCCAACACGTCATGCATCTGCAGTTTGCGGCCTTCCAGTCCGCCGTAGCCAAGTTCTGGCGCCGTAGACTTCGACCCGAGAAATGAAGGAATCCCGGGAAACCCTCCTTTGATGGCGATGTATGCTCTGAAACCGCTCCCCCCCAGTTGACCGAGCTTTAGGACCTGGCCACGACGAATGACGAATCTAGACCACATGGGCTGCTCCTCATCGTCCACCGTCACAGAAACAGAACCACCACATACTGCCACGACAGCATCAACGTAGAAGCGCAGCGCTGGGCCTATCAAAGTGACCTCCAACAGCTCTGTCCCTGGCTCATTCCCGATCAACACGTTTGCGATCTGGCTGCTGAGGGTGTCCATGGGCCCGCTCCTCGGGACGCCATGCCGGACGGACACTCGTCCAGGGTAATCTTGAATGGTTGTCATCATGCCGGGTTCCAGGACTTGTATTGCGCACGCCTCGAAGACGAAGTCGTTCAAAAAGGTGGTCAGCGTGTTCCCCTGGATGAATGCCTCCGACTGGAGGACCTTGGTGAGGTATTGGAGGTTCGTCTGCGTGCCCTGAAGAGTTGTTCCCTTCAGCGCTCGAATCATCTTCTGTCGTGCCTGCTCTCTACCCCGACCGTCGTGTACCATGATCTTCCCGATCAACGGATCGTAATACGGCGTGATGCGCTGACCGCCCTTGACCCACGTATCAACACGAACCCCATCATCGCCCTCACTTTCAGGCCATCGCACACTCTGCAAAAGCCCAGGCCGCGGGGCAAAGTCATTGAGCGCGTCTTCCGCATACACACGAACCTCGATCGCGCTGCCCAGGGGCTGCTCTCGCCCAAGCGACATCAACTCTGCCGTTGGGATGCCTCCTAGCCCTGCTTTTTCGCAGTCCGCCTGTTGAAGCATCAAATGCACGAGGTCAACCCCGTAACACAGCTCCGTGATGCCGTGTTCGACTTGCAGTCTAGTGTTCATCTCCAGGAAGAAGTACTCTGCCGTCTCATCATCCACCAGAAACTCCACGGTGCCGACACTCTTATAGTTCAACTGCGACGCGTAGTCTACGGCCGACTGGCAGAGCTTCCTGCGCAGCGTCGCATCGACAAACGGACTCGGACACTCCTCGATGACCTTTTGGTGGCGCCGTTGGAGTGAACATTCCCTTTCGCCAAATGACACGACCGCTTCGCTATTGCCAGCGACCTGCACCTCAATGTGACGTGAGCGCGGATAGTATTTCTCAAGAAACACGCCGCTGTTCTTGAACAAAGTGTCCGCTCGGCTGACGACCGTTTCGAACGCCTTCTCTACCTCCGCTTCATCCTGGCAGATCTGCAGACCCATGCCGCCGCCGCCACCGGTGGCCTTGAGCATGATGGGAAACCCGAGGCGTGTGGCGTTCTTGCGGGCTTCGGCTGCTGAAGATAGGAGAGTCGTGCCTGGGACCGTGGGGACGCCGGCCTGGTGGGCGATTTCCCTGGCCTCGTGCTTAAGACCCATGGCCTTGATCGATGTTACCGAAGGGCCAACGAAGATGATGCCGGCTGCTTCAGCGGCCGCGGCGAAGTCTGCGTTTTCGCTGAGGAAGCCATAGCCTGGGATGATGGCGTCTGCGTTGTGGGTTCTGGCGATATTTATGATCGCATCTCTGCAGTCTCACCATCAGAGAAGTGGCCACATAGTGTTGGAAGTGATATGGAGTTACCCATCGGTGTATGCAGTACGGTCACTGCCTGGCAACAAAACAGCTTCATCTGCCGACACGGTGTGTAAGGATGTTGCATCTGCGTCGGCATAGATGGCCACCGTTTTGACACCAAGTTCTCTGCATGCTTTGATGCATCGAACCGCGATCTCGCCACGATTGGCGACTAACACTTTCTGAATGTTTTTCAATGAGCTGGCCATAGCGATACCTGAGCGAGGGGAAATGGCAAAAGACACCAGAATTGATCACGATGCAAATTTCCGAGATGCGCCGGGAGTTTCAAGCAAGTTATGTAGTTAGGGTGATCAACAATCTGTACCCCACACTCCAAGGGAACCCTCAAAGTTCGGATAAGTAGGAATGATTATGCTAGCAGGATCTCAAGCATGTACATCATCAGACTGCTCCCCGTTGTACCGTGTGGCATGAGGGGGAAAGATGGATGGGGATTGTTACCCCATGCTCTTATCTTGTCCCTGCATCTAGGTGTTCCCAGGGCCATGAGACCCGGATATTCGGAGCTTAAAATTAACTAGTAACACTTTCGGTAAGAAAACGGTCCAAATCAAAGTGTCCCTGGCAAACAACTGCTCACTCATCACCGTTGTTATCGACGGAGAGACCCCCTCACTCGTTATCAAGATAAGAACCCCGCATCTGTCGTCAACATCGGATCACCACCTCTACTTCGTACGAATCATAGCAAAGAAACGTCCACGGGAATTGATAGACACTGCCACCAAAACCCCAGACTCTAGGATCTGGGTGCGCTATCAGTGGCTCGGCGCAGCGGAACGGCCCCTCTCTGCGGTATCGTCTACCCCAAGTGGGACGTCTTAGTTGGAGATATTTACCCCAAAGCCGTCCGGTGACGACCTACCCCAACGCAAGCTACAACACCATAACTTTCCGAGATCATCGGTGGACTACGATCCCGGTTTCCCGCGGAAGGTGATTCCTTTCGAAACTAGGAGAGATAAGTTCACCCATCATACTACACATCGCTATCACCAGACACATTCTCTTTCAGAGTCAAAATGGCGTCAGGTTTAGCCTCAAAGTTTGAGATCAATGCCGACATGGGCGAAGGCTTCGGCCGTTGGAAGATGGTGAGAAATTCCCCCCTTTTTCTCACGCTATCTCGCCACTCACTTCCATGAAAGGGCCCCGATGAGGAGCTGATGCCCTACATCGACGCCGCTAATATCGCCTGCGGCTTCCACGCCGGCGACCCCTCCATCATGCACAAGACCATCGCCCTCTGCAAGCAACACGGCGTCAAGGCCGGCGCACACCCAGGTCTCGCCGACCTCCTCGGTTTCGGACGTCGTAAGATGGAAATTGACCCCAAGGACATGTACTGCATGGTCCTCTACCAGGTCGGCGCCCTCAAGGCGATGCTCGACGCGCAGGGCGTGTCGCTCGCGCACATCAAGCCGCATGGCGAGCTCTTCTTCTACATGCAGCGCGATCTGACCATCATGCGTGCTGTGCTCAAGGCATGCGCTACCTTTAAAGTGCCCGTGTACGGCGCATGGAATGCGGCGCAGGCGGAGATGTGCGCGGAGCTCGGGGTCGAGTTCCAGGGGGAAGTGTATGTTGATATCGACTACTCGCCGGAGGGGGCACTGTTGCCCGTGGCAAAGTCGCAGCCGGCGACGCCGGAAAGGTGTTATGAGAAGGCGAAGAGGGCGATGATGACAGATTCTGGAGCGGACTCAGAGGGGACTGTGTTCAGTTTCGGGTTCAAAGGCAAAGCTTTTAGTATTTGTATTCATTCAGATATGCCGACTGTGATAGAGAATGTCAAGGGGGTGCGTAAAGCTGTGGATGAGGCAAACAAGGAATTGTTTGGGTTGCCAAAATGACTATCTCCTGATAGTTGAAGGGATGGTTGGCATTGAACCATGCCATCAGAGCGTACGCTAGGGGCAACCGGCTAGAAGTTCTTAAGAATACCATTTGCCACTTCAAGACTGAGGGAAGATTGATTACGCCATCAAATAACTTAGTCTTTGTCTAATGTACCATAAAGAGACCCATCATTCAATAGTGGGCATCGCTCGTATAATCGAAACAGTTATACCGGAAGGTTGATATTAAACCTTAGCGCAATGCATATCCAAACCATGAATGACAGCGTTATTCCTGTGCTCATCAAGGTATTCCTATTATCATAAGTAAGACTGGCTCATGTCAAGTATTGTCTCGCTTTTCGTTACTCTTCCTAAAATAGATTTTGCCGTTAGCGGATTCAAGATAGACCTTTGGCTTGAACTCTTGTTTTTAACTCCGAAACTCTTCTTTTCGAGTTCGGCGACGGAAACAGACCTTACAAATCCATTGTAAAGCACTCCGTTTATTGGGGAGTCAAACCAACATGGCGTCATTTCCTGCCGAGTCGACAACCCGTCTTAAGCGAACTCGCAGGTCTAGATACGAGCATCTATTAGCCAGCACAGCAGATAATGGACCCACAACACTGCATGCTCGCTCCTGGGAATGCAACACTAAACATTGTTACCCCTCAACATTCGGCTCAGAACATACCTCTGCCATTTCTTGGGAAACAAGTCCGCATATTCTACTACGTTTTGACGCTGAGTTGTACTTCAAGCTCGTACAAATCACAGACCTGATGGCCCCGAAACGCGTTTCTGCCCGCGACTTTACCGTCGGATGGGTGTGCGCTCTGCCTGTTGAGTTGGCAGCCGCCGAGGGGATTATGGATGAACAGTTTGCTGAAATTCCCTCCCCGTCGACCGATAACAATATCTATTCTTACGGCCGGATCAAGGATCATAACGTCGTCATTGCGTGCCTGCCCGCCGGACACATGGGCACGAGCTCGGCTGCCACGGCGGCAAGCCTGATGAAGAGCAAGTTCCCGTGCCTACGATTCGGTTTGCTGGTCGGAATCGGCAGCGGCGTTCCTAACCTTGACGATGATATCGATATACGTCTTGGAGATGTTGTCATTAGTCAGCCCGAAGGCCAGCATGGCGGCGTGATACAGTACGACTTTGGAAAGACCGGTGTCAATGGCCGTATCGCCCGGATTGGGAGCCTCAATGCGCCACCGCAAATCCTCCTCGGCGCTTTATCCAAGCTCTGTGCCAACGACTTCTTGAACAAGACACAGGTTCACGTACACTTGTCAAAAATCTCCAGACAGTCAGAGTTTGCTTCACCGGGCCCCGAACGGGATATTCTTTTTGAAGCCACATCGACGCACATCAACGGACCCACCTGTACGAAATGTAGACCTGCGGTGGAAAGGGAAAGACGTATGGGAACAGCCCCAGTACTTTTCTGCGGCAACATTGCGTCTGGTAATCAGGCCTTGCGGGATGGGCCGACGCGTGATAAGTATAGTCGGGATTTGGGAGGGGTCTTGTGCTTCGAGATGTGGGCAGCTGGCTTAATGAACAGCTTTCCCTGCATTGTTGTTCGTGGCATCTGCGACTACGCCGACGCACACAAAAACGAGCAATGGCGGCCGTACGCAGCAGCCACAGCGGCATCGTTCGGCAAAGAATTGCTATGCTACATCCCACCATTGGTGTCAAGCGCTAGACACGCATCTGAAAATCGTAAGTAGGACAGGGATGTCGCCAGATAAGACTCTAACTTCTGCAAGCCCTTCAAAGACCTCACTTCCTTGTTCCATTTGGGAGAAACGAAAACTTCGTCGGCAGAGAAACTATTTTGATTAAGCTTCTGGAGAGGATACCACCAACTGCCAATGGAGACGCTTGCCCAAGGACCGCTATCGTCGGACTGGGAGGAATCGGAAAGACACAAGTCGCCATCGAAGCTGCGTACCGCGTTCGCGAAGTCCACCCCGACTGTTCCGTTTTCTGGGTACCTGCTGTAAGCGTTGAGATGTTTAGCAACTATTACCGTAAGATTGGCCGAGCACTTAAACTCAAACACATTGAGGATCCTAAAGCAGATGTCAAAACCCTGGTCCGAACTGCCTTAGAGCGGGACGACATCAACAGCTGGCTTCTCATAGTCGACAATGCCGACGACACTGGCTTGCTGTTCAACGGGCCAAAGCTAGCAGCATACATCCCCTATAGCCGTAGAGGCTCCATCCTATTCACGAGTCGGAACAGTATCATCGCAGCCAGATTTGATGGTGTAAATGCCCTTCATCTGTCCGAGATGAATGCTCAAGAAGCTGCTCGGCTCCTGCACACCGGCTTGAGCGAGAGCCAGATCGACAATGGCCGAAGTACAGCACAACTTCTAGAGAAGCTCACGTATCTTCCGTTAGCTCTCAAACAAGCTTCAGCTTATTTGAAAGCCAACACTTATACATCGATATCTCAGTATCTAGAATATTGCGAAGCAAGTGATGAAGAGCAGATCAAGTTACTCGGAGAAGATTTTGACGATCAATACCGGTACGAAAGTACTCAGAATCCAGTCGCAAAGACGTGGTTCATTTCGTTCGAAAATATTGCCCGAGATAACCCCTTGGCAGCAAGTTACCTCGGACTCACTTGCTATTTTGCTGAAAGATACATTCCACCGTCACTTTTACCCCCTGGGGAAAGTGAAAGACAGACACACGAGGCGATCAGCACGTTGATGGCGTATGCATTCATAAAGAAGCGACATGCTGCAGAAAATCTCGAAATCCATCGGCTGGTACGCTTGGCAATGCAGAATTGGCTGAGAAGGCAAGGCAAGGAACAGCAACAGTTTTCAGAGACAGTATCAGCGAGCCATACGGGAAAAGGGTCGAGGCTACTATCAGGACATTTTAAGACAAGAGGTATGTATCTGCAAGCGCCAGGGCCAAAAGAACAGGATCTAGCATCAAAAGACATCCAAGTTGGCACTGCCATGTCTGACTTCGCAGACACAGATTTCAACACACAGTTCTATGTCGAGAAGGATGATATTGAAGAAGCAAAGGCGATAAATCAGCAATCATTTCAGTCGAACAAGCAGGTACTAGCGCCCGAGCAAGCGGTCACCCCAATCGTCCCCGAAAGCCGAGCATATGGACGCAAAAGCCAGGGGGAAACCGGAGAGGTACCTCGGATAGCTCAAAGGCATTAGCACTGAAGATGGAAGACATAGTACTGGAGCCCCATGTTACTCTGACGACAATGCTAAGTTTTGTCGATGTTTTCAAACGCCCAGGCTACAGAAGCGGACCTCAAAGAGACATAGAGATCTGATCCACAAGAACCAAAGCTAGAGCCGTTTTGGGGGTTCTGGCTCTTATTGGAATTTGAGATTCGAAACAGACGTTGCAAATGATTGCAATCACTTTCCCAATCCATTAGGACGGCACTACGCGCGTTTTCCTAACTTCAAGTAAGTAGACAGAAAACAATACCAGATGAACGCCTACAACATTCTCGTCCATTGAACATCAACCCATTTTCTTCTTACCCGCAGCAGCCCTCAAAACCGCAACATCCCTCCCCCAAACAACAGCCAACGCCGCACCCCCAGGCCCAACCACACAACTCCACATGACCGCCTTCCCCAGATCCATCACAACCTGTCCCACCCCCGCCCTCGCATACGCCATATACGCAAGCCAGCTCCACGTCGCCAGCGACGCGCAGTACATATCCCACTGCAACAGCGCCAGAATCCCCTTCTCCAGACTCGCCATGGGCGCCGTGCTCCACGGCCACGTCGGGCGCAGAATCTGCCCCAGCATCTCCAGCGGAGCCACGCCCGCCGCGGACTCGGATTTCAGCACGACGTAGCCTACGACGCCGTAGTGGCACGCCGTCGCGAGGGCGAGGGTGAAGGTGTATATCCTGCCGAAGCGCGCGATTTTCGTCTCTGCGGTCTCGAGGCGGGCTTCCGGGGCGGTGGACAGCTTGGGCAGGATAGCTTGGAGGATGCCGGTCCAGAGGGGGAAGGCCTGCCAGATTGCGAGGGCGGCTTCTTGGAAGTAGGGGGAGAAGAACTGGGTGCGGGGCAGGCCGGCGAGGATGCTGGGGAGGAGGACGCCGAGGGACCACGCGGTTGTGACGGTCTCGCCGTCGGCGGGGGGGATGGAGATGGCGTCGGCGAAGGAGAAGGTACTTGCGGCGGAGGGGATCTCCGAGGTCCAGAGCCAGGCGAGAAAGTAGAGGGGGAGGGTGACGCCGAAAGTTATGAGTTGCCAGAGCATGCCCCAGGCGGTGGTGCTGTTGCGACACGTCAGTTGGGAAATCTTATTGATGAAGTTTCGGGAATACGCCTTGCGATCGTTTCTACACCACAGCGAAGCAAATGTCTCAAACTCCTCCACAATATCAACTCATCTCGATCCCTCCGGCTCGGCTCGCCCCAGCCACACCGGAAATCACCGCCTTCATTATGGAAGCCGATCGAGACAAGCCCAAACCGGTCGGAGGTTTCACAGCACGGGGAAAACAGCAGTAAAAGCACAGTTGGGAGGTCTTCTGAAAAGATATACTCAAGACTCACTAAGAAACAATCTTGCCGCGGTTCCCAGCCCGCATGCCCTCGACGATGATGAGCATGTGCACCGCCAGAAGCTGCCCGGCCATGAAGATGGCGAAGAGCGTCAGGGGGAGGTCGGTGCCCTGGACGATGGGCTGGAAGAAGCGCACCAGCATGGTGAGCAGGCTGTCGAGGGCTCTCACGGTGGTGAAGGTGATGGGCTCGGCCTCGAGGTTCTTCGCGACGACGTCATTGAGGCCGTTGGCGTTGCCGAGGTCGTTGATGGCGACCTTGGCGAGGTAGAAGTTGGCGAGGAAGACGGCTGTGAATACTGTGCGAGACATGGTGAGTGAGTGTAATGTGTGGTGAGATATGCAGTGAGATGGGCGAGTGTGTTTTCAATGCTAGTGAAGGATCACCATGAGTAGCCTGCGGAGAAGGAAGACGGGGGACGTTGCATGGAGACGACGGAACGGCCGGGCTTGGGCTGGTGAGTGGTCGGCATTTCATCTGAAGTTGTCCATCCGCACGCTTCCTCGGCCAAATGGTGAGGGTCCGTCGGTAAGACTACCAGCCGATGTAAACTTTCACGAATTGGCGAATGAGCGATCGTCTGGCGTGAACTTGGACAATTACTATGGTGATTTAAACTCAATTACGCAAGCCTTCTGAGGCCCTCCCATCCCTTTTAGATAACGCCAAATGTGATGCAGTAAATTACAATAATGTGAATGCGCGTTTCGATGCCTTTTCATCGGCGCGAATTATCGTGTCTCATTTTCAACCCCGGCAAAGGCAGGGCGAAAGGCTTTGTACATCTGCGCCGCGATCTGATCTAGTCAGCTGGACGTCGTGCTGCCGGGAAGAGCCTCCGGGGACTCGAGCCAGCCGCGAGAGGCGGCATCCTTGATACCAGCGAACCAAAGGTTGGCCATCTTTTGGTAGCCAGCATCGTCGGGGTGGGTGCCGTCGACCAGGTCGCTCTTCAGTGGGCCTTGGTCAGAGTGCATGTCGACGATGACGACCTTTCTGGACTTGGCCTGCTGCTCCTCGACAAGCTTCTTGAACTGCTCGTTGACCTTCAAGACACAGGCCTCGGTGTTGTTGTTGCCATTGGGCAGGAGGGTGGAGAGTACGATGGAGGCACGGCTAGATGTGGACCAGACGTACTCCATCATTTCGAGGGTGCGAGCGCCGGCGTTGTCGGTGTCGTAGCTTTGAACGCAGTCGTTTGTGCCGGCGTTGATCAGGACGAGGTTTGGCAGGGTCTCGGGGACTGAAATCTTGGCCTTGGCGAGGACCTGTTCGATGCGAAGGCCGGGCCAGCCCTCGTTCTGGTTGTCTTCCATGGTGCCGTTGGGGTTGTTGCCAACCATGTCGACGGGGTTGCCGTCTGCGATGAGTGCGTTGCGCAGGTCTTGACGGTAGCCGTTGCCATCTGAGGACTGGACTCCGTGGGTGATTGAGGCGCCGAGGGGCATGATACGGAGGGAGACATTGCCGCCGACGAGGATATTGAAGTCTGCTCTTCCGTGGAGGGCCGGGGGCTGATGCGCCGGGGCGGCGTAGACTGGGGCTTGTTAGCAGCCGTTGGAGAAATCGGAGAAGGTGGGCTTACCAGCACTAGAAGCCAAGAGCATGGCCGTCGAGAGATAACCGTTTGAATGCATGATGGGCGAGGATGTAATCGGTGATGGGTTGAAGGTCCGGCGTTCAAAGGCGAGGTCGTAACCGGTCGCTAGATGTTTTGAGGCGTGTTGACAGACTGAGACGTTTCAACGAGACAGTTGGGCGACGGGTAGGTTAAGTACGAGGAGAGGCGTGATCCATGATTGAGCACCTAAGGAGGTACCTAGGGGACAAGCCAAGAAAATAAGCTCATGGTTGGGCCTCTGGATCGGTGGCAGGGTCGGTCCTTGGTGCGACCGGTACCTGGTTGCGTTACTGCGCATTAGTGCGACGGAGGGAGGGATCAGTCTGCGGTTCCCTGGTGCAAGCTCCAAAGTCCCTTTTGGAGGATCGGACGGCTCATTGGGATTGTCATTGGACCATGCCTGGGTTGGGCAAGGTGCAAGTCAGTGGGTGGGCAGGGATAAGACGGACGGGGAGGTCTGGATGACATGACATGGCAGTTGATGGCCGTTGCTGCTGCTGGGTCCATGTGCATGTAGTGCCTGGCTGTAAGCGAGTTGAGGCGAAGACGGGATGAGACCGAGAGGACTACTCGTAAGTCGGGAATAGCGTCGAAGGATGGAGGTGAGGACGGAGCGGGACTAAGACGAGGGAGGCGCGGAAAGGATGCAGACACGGCGGAGGAACGGCGGCGCTACTGTTGTCGTCTGCCACTTTGAAGGGAAGGAAGGAGAGCAGAATGCTGCTGCCTGCTCTGGGAAATTTGGAAATTTGATGGCAGGAGCACCCCATTGCGTGTTTCCCATTGTTTGATGGGGAAGGACGCACACAAGTCCCTTTCCTTCCGTTTCTTGTAGGTACCGACCTTAGACTGTGACTGCCACGCGAAAGAAAGAAGCAGCCACAAACACAAGCAGGAGCAGGCGCAACACACGGCAAACAGGCAGGCAGGGGCTGCTGCTGCACTTGCCGCGAATGGCAAGTTTGACTTTTACGGCAAGTTCAGGTCGGCCTGGGGCAGGTGCAACTCCCCGCAAAAGTGGGAGATCTCTCTCTGGGTCACAGCACGAGGTGGATGCAGGGGAAGGAAGGCGCATCCACGATAGGCACCTACTATGCATGCTGTGATGTTTCGACCTCTCTTCCTTCTCCTTCCTCATGTCCCGAGGAAGTCGGACTCGGGTGGCTTGCCTTCTCTTTTCGTCGTGGCTTACTTTTCAGGTAATCGCCAAATGGTATGATGGATCTTATTTCGCAGCATGACAAGATAGATGCACCAGGAAA